TTAGTTTCTCATTCAGTTGACCCCCTAATGTTTATTAGGTTCTAATTACACTTACAAAGACTAAACTGCCCTCACTTAAGTGTGGGCAGAGTACTCTAATAAAACAGCCACATAAGCAAAGTACTTAACTGACATGAGATTACTAAACTACCCCTATTCGGCTCACTCTAACACTTTGAAAGCAAGAATTAAGGAATGGAATAGAATTCATTTTGGAAGATTGGATGAAAAGAATGAAAACTTGATAAACCAAAATGAGGAATTGGATAGGGTCGAAGAGTATGGTCTATTGAATGAAAATCTAAGAAGGGAGGAATGGAGCTTAGAAATTGGACAATACCTTTTTTATAATAATAGGAAAATTTCATTAAAATAAAGCATCAATACAAACAGTCTGGTGTTGAGAGGACACAAAAGACCATTTACAGAACATTCTCAAGATTGGACATCAATAACATTCTAGAAATTAGACCCTAACTCTAAAGCATTCACTTCGGAAAATTCAGGTAAGATGAGCACCCAATCAATGACATCCCTTCCAATAGATGCCATAATCTTCTCTAACTTCCACTGCTTATCTTTAAACACACTCCTGTTTCTTTCTCTCCAGATAGACCAGCAGACAGAAAATGGTAAGCAACTCACAATTTTAGCTTTCTTACTCCCCCTAAATGACAGCCACTTAGAGAAGATGATATCAACTGGAGACTCAGGAGAAACAATTGCACCCCGAATAGAGCTGATTAATATTTCCAACACATTCCAGCCAACCTGAAGGACAACAAATGGAAAACTGTTTCCTCACTCTGCCTGCACATAAGGCAGATATTTGCCAAACAAAAGCCTCTGGACTTGAGATGATCTGTGGTAAGGATACTATCCATGGCCACCAACCATGCAAATGCTTCCACCCTAGGTGGAATTGGATTACTCCACATCTGTCTTCACCCAACTGATCCCTTATCAAAGCTAAATATAAGGTCTTCACCGTGAATTCCCCATTCTTACACTCCTTCCACCTTGGCTCATCCCTTGAAGAACTAGACATCTTTGATTTTTCCAAGACTTCCAACAACCTATCACATTCCTCCCCTTGCCAATCCCAAAGAGGCCTCCTGAATTTAGGACTCCATATCACCTTATCCCCCATCATCTCATAATGTTGGCTAATGGAAACATTATGGTCAACCAGTCTGTACAGTCTTTGACACAACTCACTCAACCTACCCACTCCACACCAGTCATCCTTTCCAGAATTTTATTCTAGCTCCATCCTCAACCAAGAAGCAAGTGAGATTTTTAAATTCTTGGTTAAACTTCATGATTCCTCTCCAAACACTTGCCCTAAACGAGGACAAGACTTCTCTTGATTCCATCCAAATCCAACCACCACTCTCCTCCATAAAGATTCCTTCTCCTACTCTAAGCCGAACAGCCTGAACCTGCACAGCCGTTTACCTAGCAAAGCCTTATTGAAAGTCCTCAATCTTCTAATCCCCAAAGCCCCACTCTTTGGCCTGCACACCAAGTCCCAACTGACAAGATTCTTAGATTGAAAGTCCTCAATATTCTTAGATCCCCCCAGATCTTCCCATAAGAAATCCCTTTGCGTTCTTTCAATCTTCTTAACCACTTAAGCTGGAATTTTCAGAAGAGAGATGTAGTATGTTGGCAAACTATAAAGGACACTTCTCACCGAAGTAATTCTGCCCCCAGTGACAAATACTTAGCCTTCCACCTGCCAAGCTTTTTCTAGGAATATTTGAAGTTGCTTCTCAAAATATCTTTGGCTTTAACAGATCTTATTATTTTGATTTTTTCTAGAATTGTGATTTCCACCATGTTGATTTTTTTAACAATGTGAGGAACTTCATCTCTAGTCTTCATCAAATACAAAACATGCAAGGTTCAAAATATTGATGCACCCCAATACACCGGAAGGAGTGTCAATACTTTGAAATTTGAACCTTGCATTCCTATTTTTCTTTTAGTTTTTGTTCAAAATTTTACAGGGGGGCTATTTTTATATGTTTTAATTATAAAAAAAAAGGTTTCTCAACACCTTAAAATAGGTGTATCATATACTAAAAGATAGGATATCCACACAACAAAGAGAATAAGGTACTTGTATCCATTTGTGTAAAAAATTTGAACCTTGCAGCCATTTGTATTGAGTAATTAGTTTCCAACTTATGCATCAATCGTGATGCAGTTAGCTTAGTTCTCATGCCATAAACAAGATTATATTTATATTAAGGAGTGTAAATTACAATGATGCTCATAAGATGGCCCCTTATTACAATAAGCCCAAAGTTACATAATTACCCTCACTTAACAGGATTGATGCTTTGCATCCTTGACTATTAAATGTGATGTCTTCATTAGACAATTAAATAACTAAAAACAAGTAATTAATTAAAGTGGTTATTTCTTGTTTAGGCATTGGATCTTGGGAGGGGTGCACATCCTAAGAGTTACATGGTGGAAGAGATCTGGCAGGAGCTTGCAAAAGCAAAATATATGGAGTGGGAGCATGCATCTACTGTGCGTTCGTGGAAGCTGCAAAACTTGAAGTATGTTACTAGTGTATTTTTTGAACTTTAATTTTCAGTATTGTGTAATTCTGTGCTTCTTTTGGAGATTCCTTTGGTAGGTATACCTGTACATTCATTTTTCTTTTTAAGTTTCCCTTTACACGTACTACATGCTGGAATTCTTTTGCAGAGAAACTTGTGAAAAAGCTCTTAATGAGAAACATCTTTTTGATGCTTCTCAAGTGGTGGATCTTACAGATGAATCTGAGACTGCTCGCCAAGAACAACTGGCATTTCTGAAGGAAGTGTTCAGAAAAGCTGTGAATTCTGACATACCAACTGAGGTGAGCATTCAAGACATAGACATCTTTCATGTAACTTTTCCTTCGTTCTTCAGGTATAAGTTGGAAACTTCAGGTACCGGACTACCTATGCTGTAAAATTACACTCGATATATTCCGTGATCCTGTCATCACTCCAAGTGGAGTTACATACGAAAGGGCAGTGCTGCTTGATCATCTTCAGAAGGTGACTTCTTTTTCATTTTACAAATTGATTACAAGGCAGCTAGCAACTTCGTGTGTTTCTTGTGTTGATCTTCTAGTCCATTTGAATTAGGTTGGCAAGTTTGATCCGGTCACACGTGAACCACTAAACCAAAACCAGCTCGTTCCAAACCTGGCTATCAAGGAAGCAGTCCAAGCTTTTCTAGACGAGCATGGCTGGGCTTACAGGATGGATTGAGAGGTGATTTGCTCAAGTGGGGGAAGGTGCTCAGATTTCTTATTGTTCTTTGCTATGATTTGGCAATTTGAAGAAAGCAATGGTCAAAATGTGGTCTGCAATGTTCTTTATTTATAATGTACTATCATTTTTCTCTCTTGTTCATCATAAGGATGTCTTTGTTTGGTGTTGTACAGGTGGTAAACTAACTGTATTTCTGCAGGTTTGTATAGTTCGGTATGAAACTTTATTCAGTAGAGGATGCAAAAACTATTTTAGTAGTATGTCCAACCATGTCTAGTCAAAGTGGCGTAAAACAAAAGTTTAGTCCAAAGTGGGAAGGGTGATTGGTCCCCGAGAAAAAAATAACGTTCTTAAGGGGCTACCGGGTGATTAGTTGTTCTTGGATACTTGAGATACTACAGTCCCATTAAATGTAATTGCAACTAGAAAGGTTTACTGGTCATTCTTGATTGTGTTGGTTATTATTCTAAGCTCCATGAGTTTCTTGATAATAATAATAATTAACAAACTCCATAGTTTTGAAGGAGTTAATGCATGGATACAAATCAAAATTAAAATGCATAAGAATTGCATAATAACTATAAGCAAAGAACTATTTATCTTCTTCCCCAACTTGACAACCAGAGAGTGGCTTGAGTCTTCATCAACACCCTTATTCCTTTCCTTCTCTTTCATTTTTCAACAGGAAAAAAACATGTAGTACGAGTCTGAAATAAAGAGTGCCACGAAACTCAACTAAACTCCAGGATGATATTAGGGGTCTATATTTAATGGGATTTGCCTGGTAATTAGATCCGTTGGAACTGTAGGCACAGCTCCATTTCAAGGAAACTATGAAAGGCTTTGGATATTAAATATTAACAGAAGGGATTGAGTTGAGATTATTTGATCTGTTTGTTTACTCCACTGCTATTATTCTTTTGGTTGGCATTGATGAAAATGCAGAGAAATTGGCGTTTTGAGTGTTTTGGATGGAAATATTTCAGTTCAAGAAAGCAGTAAAAGAGAGTTGAATGATCATCAATCTGGAAGCTATTAGGGTTTTTTGTATATTCCAGTGGTTATTTGGGACGTTTTGTTTGAGAAATCCTATCATACAAGCTGAAAATTCTAGTGAAATATCAAATATTCCAGAAGATATTTTAGATTGCATCACTCATGAGAAGTGATTGGAAGGCATAGTGCCATACCCGAAGCTCATACTATTAACAGTAGCTGTAACCCAATAGAGGTGACCATCTAAAGAACAAAGAAGGCGATTTTCTGAGTTCTGATTTCTGTTATTCACATGAGAAAAAGAGAGGAATAGGAGTGTCGGTGAAGTTGTCAACGCTCTCTGGTTGTCGAACCCCAAGAAGATGAGCAGTTCTTCCCTTTTTTTATCCTTCTTTTTAATTTAAAATATGTTTTGTAAATAAATACATGACGCGGCAAACTTCCTGTTTAATTTTCTAGCACATGTAACCAAGGTGTCCATGCGAACTAAAACGTGTTCAAATCTGATTAGAAGTGCACCCAGGCACACACCAAACCCAGTGCAGGGAATCCGGACTCAGTCGGGGACCATTATTAAAACTAGGGAGTTATGATGTAATTTGTAAACATGGGAGGTTGGAAACCTTGAAATGTGATTAATGAGGCGCCGTTTGGCACTAGACGCAATGTCAAATTATTTAAATTAAAATTGGGGGTTAGGCAACCACTCACTTCGTTCAAAGACCGCTCAAGCTATTCATCTTCCATTGTTACTACTCCTTTCTTCTCTATTATCTTGTAACTTTTGATTAGAAGAAAATGGTCGAGCAGCTTGACTTGGAACATCTGCGAAAGTGGGCAGAAGAATTGAAGAGTCAATAAAAAGGGGAGGATTTTGCCTCCCATGCCTATTACAATTAAGAAAGATGGTCGGTTTGATAGCATTGGTGGGGAGGAATTGTTGTGCTTCTACAATGCCTTCAAGAAGGAGATCATATACCGCTGTCGCGAGTCTGATAGTGATGAGTTCTATAATTGGACAAATTCAACGTTGGAGAATCCAATGTTGACTAAGATCTTATGGTTTTCTTTTAGCACTAGATTGTTTCTATTGGTTCATTGGTATTGCCAAAGAGAAGGGGGTTGAATACGTGGAGTCTCTATTGGTTCACTGGTATTGCAGGACCCATACCTCTATGAGTTCGTTCTCTTGCGTATTAGGGCACCCTTACCCCAACTGAACCGGAAAATGCAAAGTCTATCCTTAAGGCTGCGTTTGGAAAATGATGCAAATGGAGTCTAAATCCCAATTTAGGGTAAATTTGCACTCTGGTTCACTATTGCTTGTATTTGACAATTGGATGACAAATTAACATTTCCGAACACATTAGCAAGCCAGGTCAGCTCAGTCACCTCGGCCAAGATTGAGTTTCGAGCAGCTTGTGGTGTCCCAACATGTCCACAAATAGTCTTGAAATGCCAAGGTGGGCCTCAGACAAGCCATATTTCATCAATGTTGTTCCATGAGAAACTGCCTCACCCACCAAAGACCCCCACTATCCATGGGAAAACATTAACCATCTGAGAGAAGATCAACCACCAAAAAACACGACACCACAACTCTTCTGAAAAGCAAGGGAATTGCAATCATAACTATCCAAACGACTCTCATTAGCAATGTCGGAAAGCGAGTCCGACAGGTCCCCATTGGCAAGCAAATCACTGCATCTCCCTTCGTCAAGAAATAATGAACCTGTGTCTCAGTGGAGGATGTATCATCAATATTATCCCCAAAACAGTACATCTTCTCATGGATCATCGGAGGTGGGATTGGTATGGACACAAGATTATTGAAAACAACACCAATAGACTCGTTAATTCCATCTTGTAGATCGGCAGTCCAAGAACCTCCTTGCTTACGTTTAGTGTGTCTGGATCATCACGATTGAAATAAGGAACCAACAAGACTCCATGAACACTTTTTGAAACATTAACATAAACCCCAATAAAAGGACCGAGAAAAACTCACATACAAAGATGTGAGAGGTAGCACTCGCATATGAAGATATGAGAGAGATAACTCGTCCCTCCTCCCTCAAAGAGGGAGAGAGGCCCTGACCAGTGTGGTCCCTTTCAATAGCATGTAGGCCAGATAGATCTTAATCGTAGTTTCTGTTGGGGTTCCCTCCTTATGAGGTGGGGCCCACTAATGAGGGTAGAGAAAAGAAAATAAGAAAAGTACAAAAGAAATGAATGGAAGGTTAAGAGATTTTTTTGTATTGGCTTGCAACACATCCTTGGCTAACCAACGAATTGGAGAGGGCTCACTTCTACTCTCTATTCTCTCAATTCTAACAACTCTCTAGAAAAGGGGTTTAGAGAAGAAGGTTTTTGGGAAGAAGAAGAAGAGTTAAAAGGGATGAAATGAAGATGACAAATCTGTTTTCAGCATCTCCTCTTGCTTCCATTGTTGTGCTTCCATCTTTGGTGAGAGATTTCATGTTTGTTATCCATCTTAATGATGTTTTCTGTTATTGATATCCAAGAGCTTTCTTGATGTTCATCGTCTAGTTGTAACTAGAGAGAAAAACATTGTATCCCATTACTATTGCTGATAGTGGATAATTTGGATTTCGATCCTGTGGTTTTTACCCTTACATTGAGGGGTTTTCCACATAAAAAACTTGGTGTCTACTACTGTTGCTTGCTCTGTTTTTGGTTATTTGTTTTATTACTACTGCATGCTTGATATTTGTGGTAAAAATTTCTATGATTTTTCATAAAGAAAAATATAGGGATTATTCCCAACAGTTTGGTTACACTAGGAAGGGTTAATTCCTTGTATTTGATGTATTTAAACATCAAATAATATAGGGATTATTATTGTTATTATTATTATTATTCATTCATTATAATCAATTATTTTTTATGCCATGACTCCATTTGTAATTAGATGTATTTAAACTTTCCATTACCATTATATGGCTTCTTTGTGCTTTGCTATAATTACTTTTAAGAATATTATATACCTTCTTTGTCCATTCCATAAACAAAGCAATTGACTTTGTTTTGGCCATTATTTTTTATTTTTATAGTTTATTTTAATTCTTTGACAAATTGATTAGATCATTCTTTTGATTTTTTTAATTTGTTTATAAGCCTTGATTGTTTCAATCTTGATTAACAAAACCCATACATGACACGGGTGAAAATACACAAATCATTCATTCATCTCGAAAACAAATCAGAAATGAGTACATGAACAATGACATCCGGGCACTCCAACCATGTGTAAGGATGGGAGCATAAAATAGCTTGACGTGCTAGTCGATTTGCTACTCTGTTAGCAGTACGATGAGTATGAGCAATCGAGATGAAAGAAAGGTTGGTTAACTTTCTTTTGCGATTGGAAATGATAGTGTGAATGACGTAGTGTGGAAGCACTAAACCGGGCTGGCTATGCAAGCATCGGGCAAACACCAGCTTCGCAGTGATGCTATACGTGAATCTCTTAGAGGAGAGAGAAAATTTGGCGAAAACTAAATGTGTTTATTAGTTTGGAAATAATAGTATTTATAATACATCTAGGAATTGTAGAGTAACTAGGAAAGAAAAATTGTGATAGATCTTGAACATCTAATCTTTTAGCTAGGATCGAACTCTTCTTGGATGTTGCCTTGATCTCCACCGTCCGATCTCCTTGGGTCTATCCATGCATGAGTTATCTTGTCTCCTTGGAATTACCTTGGATCTTGAACTTCCTTGAATCTTGGGCTTATCTTGAATCTTGAATTCTTGATTTATCTTGAATTCTTGAATTATCTTGAATTCTTGATTTATCTTGAATGTGCTTCCTATGAGTTGTCTCCCATATGATGAGATGGGCCTCCATCATTTTCCCCCACTTGGAAAGAACTCGACCCCGAGTCGTGACTAGGGCATGCAAGTGTCATCTCTGGCAGGTAGCGATGAAGGTCAACAACATTAAATATCGTAGAGATACTCATATGATCTGGTAGGTCCACGACATAAGCATTGTTGTTGATCTTCTTCATGACCTTGTATGGACCGTACTTCCGAGGCTGCAGCTTGTTGTACTTTCCCACGGGAATCCTTTCCTTCCTCAAGAACACCATAACTTCATCACCGACGTCAAACACTTGGTGTCGTTGATGCTTGTCTGCTGCCATCTTGTACTTTGCATTGGTTTGCTCTAGTTTCTGCTTTACGGCGTCTTGGACGGACTGGATCTGGTCTGCCATTTGTTTTGCGGAGGTACTGATAC